GGGGGATGTGGCACACGGTGACAAAAATAATCTTTGGCCAGGATTTGGGGAGGTTCTGGCCTGGCTGGGAGCTGTGGAGCCGCACCCCGGCATGCCCGGTGGGGGTGATGCACCCACTGCAGCCGGGCTGCCCAAAACACAGGTGTGTTTACGGGAAGCAGCTCCGTGGACTCCTGATAAGGCTCCTACCTTTGCACTCCCAAGCCACAACAGAGCAATTGCACCTTCTTCAAACGCTACGTGGGAATTATACTACGAAAAATAGATTTTTTTTATTGCCAAAGCTGCCCACGTGCGGCGGTGCCCAGCTGTGCTGTGTGCCCCGAGGAGCTGCTCTGCTGCGAAGCAGAGCCCAGGGGAAGGAGGCAGCTCTTCGCTTTTCACCTTAAATAACACCCGGGTGATGTGAGGTTCACACATGACCTGCTGTGCTCCCCGAAGCGACAGGTCCCTGATGCACCACCCGCCCCGAGCCCTTGCTGCCCGGGGCTGAGGATAAAGACCAGGCAAGCGGGCAGAGACATTTCCCCGCCTCTGGTGACTCATGGCTCAGGCACGGCCAGAGCCAACAATGTGCCTTTGTGCTCGGAGATCTCAATGGATTTCTCTTTCGTGGTCTTGTCTGGTTGGCTTTTGAGCCCGTGTAAAGCCCATAAATCCTGAAATAATGAATCCCACACAGTTTTGCTGCACCTGGCGCAAAGAAAACGCCTCCCTTTGTGGGCACTGAACCTGACATCTGCTGGTTTCGCTGCGTGCCCGTCTGCCTTTAGAACAAAACAATAAATCCAGCCATTATTCATCTCCTCCCCTGCCAGTCAGGATTTGAGAGCCTTCTATCGTTTCTGTCAACTGCTCTGTTCCTCGGCTGAGAAACAGTGTCAAGGGCTGGGCAGTGAGACTTGGCGGGCAGGAGGGTGCTTTGGAGCTAATCCCCTGCTCTCTGTGTTCACACCCCCGGGGAACCCCGGGCAGTGCCCGCCTGTGTCACTGAGAGGCTCCCGGGAATCCCGCGCAGCGCTCGTGTTTTGGCACGGGAAGGAGCGCTCGATTACAAACCGCAGGTGTGACGGCGGCAGGGCCCAGGGCT